TGGATCTCTTTGTGATCGTATTTATTGATGATATATTGGTATACTCAAAGAGCAAGAAGGAACATGAGGAACACTTGAGAATGGTACTGAAAATGTTAAGGGAGAAGAAGCTCTATGCCAAATTATCCAAGTGTGAATTTTGGCTTGATTCAGTGTCCTTCTTGGGGCACGTGGTGTCTAAGGAGGGCGTGATGGTGGATCCTTATAAGATTGAGACAGTGAAGAATTGGTTAAGACCTACTAATGTGTCAGAAATAAGGAGCTTTGTTGGTTTAGCTAGCTATTACCGTCGATTTGTCAAGGGATTCTCTTCCATCGCTTCGCAATTGACGAACTTGACTAAGCAGAATGTTCCATTTGTATGGTCGGATGAATGTGAAGAAAGCTTTCAGAAGCTCAAGACCTTGTTGACTACCGCACCAATCCTTACCTTGCCAGTGGAAGGTAAGAATTTAGTTGTCTATTGTGATGCATCCTATTCGGGTTTGGGTGCAGTACTAATGCAAGAGAAGAATGTAATTGCTTATGCTTCGAGGCAATTAAAGGTGCACGAACGTAATTATCCGACCCATGATTTGGAGTTGGCTGCGGTAGTGTTTGCATTAAAGCAATGGAGACATTATCTATATGGAGCTAAGTGTGAGGTCTACACGGATCATCGTAGCCTACAGTACGTCTTTACTCAGAAAGATTTGAACTTGAGACAGAGGAGATGGATGGAACTACTGAAGGACTACGACATCACTATCTTGTATCATCCGGGAAAGGCTAATGTTGTGGCAGACGCCTTAAGTAGAAAGGCAGGGAGCATGGGAAGTCTAGCTCACTTGCAAGTTTCTAGACGTCCATTGGCTAGAGAGGTTCAGACCCTGGCTAACGACTTGATGAGGTTAGAAGTAAATGAGAAGGGAGGATTGTTGGCTTGTGTGGAGGCAAGATCTTCTTTTCTTGACAAGATTAAGGAAAAACAGTTTGAGGATGAGAAACTAAGCAGAATCCAAGATAAAGTATTGCGAGGAGAGGCTAAGGAAGCACAAATCGATGAGAAAGGTGTTTTGAGAATCAAGGGAATGGTATGTGTACCCCGCTTCGATGATCTGATCAACACTATTCTGACAGAGGCTCATAGTTCAAGGTATTCTATACATCCTGGTGCAACCAAGATGTATCGTGACCTAAAGCAACACTTTTGGTGGAGTAGGATGAAGCGCGACATTGTGGATTTTGTTGCCAAATGTCCAAATTGTCAGCAAGTAAAGTACACTAGAGGCCCGGAGGAACACTTCAGAGAATGCCCATTCCTGAATGAAAGTGGGAGAGAATTGCAATGGACTTCGTGGTTGGTCTTCCAAAGACATTGGGGAAGTTTGACTCTATTTGGGTAATTGTGGACAGATTAACTAAGTCTGTTCATTTCATTCCGGTCAAGGTGACTTATAATGCAGAGAAGTTAGCCAAAATTTACATCTCAGAAATTGTTCGATTGCATGGGGTTCCACTCTCCATCATATCAGATAGAGGAACGATGTTTACTTCTAAGTTTTGGAAAATATTGCATGCGGAATTGGGTACTAGGTTGGACCTTAGTACTGCGTTCCATCCTCAGACCGATGGTCAGCCTGAGCGAACGATTCAAGTGTTGGAGGATATGCTTCGTGCATGTGTGATAGAATTTGGTAGTTATTGGGATAGCTTCTTACCCTTAGCAGAGTTCTCCTACAACAATAGCTATCACTCAAGCATTGATATGGCCCCATTTGAGGCACTATATGGGAGAAGATGTAGGTCTCCCATTGGGTGGTTTGATGCATTTGAGGTTAGACTTTGGGGTACTGACCTTCTGAGAGAATCGTTAGATAAAGTGAAATCTATTCAAGAAAAGCTGTTAGCGGCGCAAAGTAGGCAAAAGGAATATGCAGATCGAAAGGTTAGAGACTTGGAGTTCATGGAGGGTGAACAAGTCTTGCTGAAGGTTTCACCTATGAAAGGGGTGATGCGTTTTGGTAAAAGAGGTAAATTAAGCCCAAGGTATATTGGTCCCTTTGAAGTACTTAAGCGAGTAGGGGAGGTGGCTTATGAGTTAGCCTTGCCTCCAGGGCTGTCCGGAGTGCATCCGGTATTTCACGTGTCTATGTTGAAAAGATACCATAGGGATGGAAACTACATCATTCGTTGGGATTCAGTTCTGCTTGATGAAAATTTGTCTTATGAGGAGGAGCCTGTTGCCATTTTAGATAGAGAAGTTCGCAAGCTGAGGTCAAGGGAGATTGCATCCATCAAAGTTCAATGGAAGAATCGACCCGTTGAAGAAGCCACTTGGAAGAAAGAGGCTGATATGCAAGAAAGATACCCACACCTGTTTACAGATTCAGGTACTTCTTTTCACCCTTGTTTTTCTTCTTATGATCGTTCGAGGACGAACGATGGGTAAATTGGTATCTATTGTAACGACCTGTTTAGTCGTTTTGAGCAAGAGATGTTATTTCTGGAAAACTGGCTGAGACGACGGATCCCACGACGGACCGTCATGGGCACGACGGACCGTCGAGGGGGTCTCGTTTCAAAACACTTTAAAATTCTGAAAAATGGGTACTGAAATCGACTCTCTGAACTTCGTAACGGAATGGCAGGATGGACCGTCACAGGCAGGACGGACCGTCACAGGCGTGACGGACCGTCACAAACTCTTTAAAGGAATTGAGTCTCTGAACTCTGTGACGGAGCAGCAGGACGGACCGTCGCAGGCATGACAGGCCGTCACAGGCTGCGTAATCCCAGGCTGAGTCGGATTTCTTTAATGTTTTAAAGGAAGTTTTTGACTATTCCTGTTTTAATTATAAAGTTAGTGGGTTAATGTTAATAAGTCTAATTACTTGGGGGTTAAAAGAGGTAACCTTGAGTAAATTAGTGGGTTATTATTGCCATCTTTTATTCTTAATTATATGCTAATTAGGGTAAAAGAAAGAGGGTTTGAATAAAGAAAATAGAAAGAACAAAGAGAGAGAGAGGATCGAACGAGAAGAGGAAAACACAAAGCTTTGGGGAATTTGCTTGCTTGATCACTAATCTTCGGTGGAGGTAGGTTATGGTTTTTATACTATTCGTAGTAAACTCTTAATAGCGAATGATATGTATTGGGTAGTGTTGTAAACCCTTCTATGTGATTAATTGTATGCTTACATGATGCGATTATATAATTGTGATGAATAAGCATGATGAAGCTATTGAATCCTAAATCTTGAAAAGCCCTAATCTACTTTGTTAATGATGATGTCTTGGTATAAAAGAAGGCTTGATGAACGAAAGTAGTGAGATTAGGGGATCGGGTGCCACGTTCCGGTACCAGGATAGTATATGAGGATCGGAGTGTCACGTTTCGACACCAGGATAGTATATGGATCGGGTGCCACGTTCCGGTACCAGGATAGTATGTGAGGATCGGAGTGTCACGTTCCGACACCAGGATAGTATATGGATCGGGTGTCACGTTCCGACACCAGGATAGTATATGGATCGGGTGCCACGTTCCGGTACCAGGATAGTATATGAGGATCGGAGTGTCACGTTCCGACACCAGGATAGTATATGGATCGGGTGCCACGTCCGGTACCAGGATAGTATATGAGGATCGGAGTGTCACGTTCCGGCACCAGGATTAGTAAAGAGAATGAATCTTGAAATATGTTAATATACTTAATTTAATGAACCTAATTCTCAAATGAGTATGATGGGGAGGCGTGAGTCCTCATTGATGAGATTGGTGTTATGACCAAGGGTTATGGTAATTGTAAATGTTGCATGTTAAGTACTGTAGTTGATTTTATGATATTATCTGATATATACTGTTTTCTATTTTGAGTTGGCCGATGATATCTACTCAGTACTCGTGTTTTCTACTGACCCCTACTTGTATGTTTTCTTTTTGTTCATTGTGGAGTGCAGCAAACGTATCGTCGTCTTCAATCCAACCGCAACTCTAGCCAGTCTTCATCACACCAGATTTCAGGGTGAGCTAAAGCTTCTAGCTTGGACTGGATCTTCTTCTTCATGTCTTGATGCCTTGATGTTCCGGCATGGACTAGCTGTTTATGTATTTTAGCTTCTTAGATACTCTTAGATTTAGTAATTTGAAGTAGATGTTCTTGTGATGATGACTTCCAGATTTTGGGGATAATAATAGTTGTTGAGTTTTTAGAAGTTATTGAATTGGTTTTTATTAATGAGTTTAAGTCTTCCGCATTACTTTCTGTTGATATTATATTGAAATGTTAAGGTTTAGATTGGTTGGTTCGCTCACATAGGAGGGTAAGTGTGGGTGTCAGTCGCGACCCGATTTGGATCGTGACATTTATATGCAATAAAATGATAGTGGATCAATGCTGCTATAGTTTTGCAATTATTTTTCAGAAAGTTAGCTATTTATGTTTTTTTTCCACTTATTCTTTTTGTTGGAATTAATAACGGAAATTTTTTTAAAATGTCAATATTTTAGTATTTAATAGGTTATTGTATCAGTAGTTTCAATATTTAGTGATAATATCAAAATTTTACTTTATTATGTATGTTAATTATATTATAATTATTTGGTTTAATTAAAAAGAATATAGAATTTATGTAACAAACAGAAGCTATTTAGGGGAGATAAAATTTTTAAAAAGTAGCAAATGTTTAAAACTCTCAACATCGACATAACTAACTCAACAAAAAAAAACAGAATATAAATACATTAAATCTATGAAATACATATTAACTATAATAGAATCAAAATTTCATATACACTTTCAAATCTATGAATACAAAATACATTAAATCTATGAAATATAAAAATACATACCAACTATAACAGAATCAAAATTTCATATACACTTAAAAATCTATTCTATTATAGTAAATAACACAATCAAACGTATAATGTGTTACATTGACATAACTAACACAAAAAAAAAAATCAGAATGCAAAACATAATAAATTTATGAAATACAAAAATACATACTAACTATAACAAAATCAAAATTCCATATACACTTCCAAATCTATTCTATAATAGCGTCCCACGAAATTTCAATGTGCCCTTCAAATATGACATTCAACTAATAACCCAAACCAGTCAAAATGATAGAGAGTAGGATTAGGCATTCCAGCCTAATCTATTCTACAAACTACAAGACACACGAAATTAACTCACAAAAAAAGTTAGCTTTGATTCTAATACTAGGAAGTTGCACTTTGTATGGTCGGTAAGGGCCTTGTGAATCTTTGGAAAGCTCTTGAAATGTAGACACACACACATTGTGTGAAGAGGCATACTTAGGGTATCCACAACTTGGTTAGCCTCTCTAAAGCAATGTCTAGCAGTCTTGTTTCTGTCAGGTTGTTAGTGTTGCAGTTCACAGAAACTGTGTATGCTATTATTAAATCCCCTTTCCAATGCCAGCTTCATGAATGTAACATCCATATCTATTATATATTAGTAGCTCGCTTTGTTTAAGAGGGATTAAAAATGATGGTGTTGTTATTACTTGCTAGATCCATTTTGTTTATCAAAGTCGTGAGAGTGTCAATCTTTTGTGAATGTTCTTGCCATTCTAGTACATGTGTCTTTTCATTATTCTCAAGATTTTACCCTTTGACATTCTATATATGTTGGTTTTACTGGCCAAGGATCTGTATTGAGTACTTCTCTATTGACACTTGTTGCAGTACGCGAGACTAGAGGTCTAGTTGAAGAAGATGTTGATGACTTATATATAGAAGACCTAGACAATGCACTTAAAACAAGGCCACACTTGCAGACGCGAATGTTTGAAGTTATCAAGTTTCATGTGCCAGTTTCTGACCTTTTGCCCAAAGCAAGTAAACTTGGTGCACTTCTATTATTATACCATACTACAAAGTAACCTTCCAAATGGGCTCTTAGTCAACTGCAAGTAGTGTGGGATAAAAAGAACAGGAACAAAAAAAACTCTTAACTAGTTATAGAGGTGTAGTTGGTTGAGGGATTAATTCAAGGTGAAAATGAATTCCTCAAAAGAGACCAACTACTATCTACTGATGGGGGTCTTCCTCATGAGATGCTAATGGATTTTGTATCATGTTGTTTCTGTTCTGTTTGCCCAGGAATGAACCTGTGTGTCATCTGCTGTGGATGTGTTTTTTCTTGGCATCAGAGATATAAAACATGAGCTGCATTATCAGATTCAGATCATGATTAATACGCAGCCAGGATTCAAAACTACACTGTTCTCTTAAATTCAAATCATAATGAACATGCATTGAGAAATTCAAAAGTAAATCATTGGAAATATCTAGAGAGTCACCTTAGTTCCAACGTAAAACGTAATAAACATGCCACCAAGAGTAGGTAGTCCTGAAAAAATGGAAAATTTCATCATTCTAGTGGTAATACGAATGTCCAGGAAAAAATTATAAACCATACAGTACCTTCTTTCTGGAGAAATTTAGAGAGCAACCAATTGATCCCCGATGATCCAATGACAAAACCAACAAGATTGGCAACCTTATACAAGAAAAAAAAGTGTTATTAAGAAATAAATCTATCTTCCACCTCAAGTGTTTCTAATTGTATTCAGCAACACACAGTCCAATGAAATTGCAGAGCGTTCAGCTGCTTTATTCTCTCACAATGGAATGATCAATCTGAAGTTTGAATTATCTCAGGACTTTCCAGAAGGCAACGTGTATCTTTGTTGCTAGGTATTCCATACAGAATGCACTTTATGCACAATAATCTCGTGATCATACGTGGGCACAGGAGAAGAAGCTACTTAACAATATCTTCAGCTATTCAATTGATTGTATGCAGAAAAGCCAAAAAGTCGATTGGTCCTATTTCTTTTATTTATTCTAAATTTAATCATCCATTGAAAAACTTTATCATTCTGAAGCACCAGTAATGTTTCTTCTGTTTTTTTCTCTGTCATACATCAAGTTGACCCTCTTTTAGTACTTCAGAAACCTTAACTTACCATTGACTTGGTTAAATACATAATATAACGATAGGATAACTTCAGTATGATAAATACATAAAGATAAGCAATCCATTATTTTCTTAGCAGCATACCATGAGACAAGTGATGGTGACAGCCCCGGCAACAGCACTAAGTTCACGATACAGAAACTTCCCAAAGGAACTTTCCACCTAGTGAGTACAAATTAGGTCAGTAACATGACACAGCAACAAAAGATAATTTACTTGTTGGGTAAAATTATTCAGTTAACTGTATAAAAGAAAATGAGTTGAATTAACACTCAAATGGAAGTACCTTCAAATTATTTGTTGTTGACTTTACAATCATTTCTGGTATAAAGAATATGCAGGTCAACCATGCCCAAGAAAGAAGTTTCCTGAAGCCAAATGACCAACAAGTACCCAAATGAGGACAAAGTTTGATACAATAGTACAAGTGGAGGTTGACGAAATTCAGGAGCAGTACCACTCTAGATCATGCCATACAGCAACAAATGTGAAGATAACCCACACATTTAACAGCTTCGTCTGAGTACCCCCAAGAGGAATATACATATATCTAAATGTAGAGACATCACATAAAAATTTTGGGTCAGTGCAAGATCACACAGATAAAGCTAGATGAGATTGAGAAAGCACCTAACAAGCCATTTGTTAAACGAGGCATGCCAGTTTCTCCAAAAGCTTTCCAAGTTGTGGCAATTATTTATACATCTAGGCATATTCTCAGGGGCCTCAATACCATTGATCTACAAACAAAGACATATTAACACGCTAAGAAAACCAAACAAATAAAGCATCGTCCTCTAAAAATGAAAGAGAACCAAAAGGAGCATAATGTCAACAAAATTACCAGTGACCAGAAGCGAAAGTAGCGCCAAAGTAGAAAAAACTTGAGCCACATGAAGTTCAATACCTATTTGTCATGAAGATCATTACATGAATTGTGCATCCTATTTTCTGGAAACCAGCAATCCAAAGGATCATCTTATATCAAGGAGAAAGCAATAAATGGCAAAGAGTGGCATAACATAAAAGTTGTGTGGGATGGATGGTGTCTGAATTACAGAGACTCATTGAGCGGATAACACTTATTCAAACAAACATTGGCAAAGAATTGAACATACAGGATCTGAACTGTAAAAGTCAATGAAGCAACACATCACAAATTGAAGTTCTACATATCATGAGTTAGAGTAAGTCTATCCTTTCAGAGTATTACCACTCAATAGAGACTTTCTTCCTCACTTCAAGAGGGAACTGACACTAACTTCTCCATATGTACGAGAAATAATTTTAAGTGTTTTCATTTACATTTTCCTCTATGAATATAAACAGAATAAGCACTTACTAAGGCAGTCAAAGACTTAAGTAGCTTAAAAATTCTAAATACAAACACTTACTCCATACCCGATGATGAAGATGTCCAAAGGAGATAAGTATTTCCATGTGCCACTGCAAATTTACAGATAAATCAGTCACCCAGAATAACATCATAGCTTAGTTTAAGGCAACCAGAGTGGTCTAAATTACATAACCTCACCTAATGGCAAATGCATTGTAGTAAAAGAAATGTGTCATTGATTCCATAAGCATCAGGCTGAAAATCCAACGAAGTCCATACCACACCACTTTTTTCAATGAGTGCGTCTTCTGGGGAGTATCAAGCTGCAATGACAAGGCATCAAGTAACAACAAGATTTGTGCACAGTGGTGCTCTTTATAAAAGAAGGTTATAGTGCTGGAACAAAACAAGTGGCTGATTCAAAATTTTACTCAAAACATTGTCTGAGGCAAGCAGGTATTTGACAAATATCATAGACAGTAAGAAGTAAAAACAGATTCAAGATCTAGCAGAAAAGACCATGACTGTAATCACAATATGTCAACAGTTCTTATCAGTTCCACCTTCTGCTATATCTCACTGATGAGAACTACCAATGACCCTTAATATAGAGGAGAATGAAGACGATGCAATTTTTGCACATCTTATTAACACCGTAGAAGAGTATCTACAGCACAATTATAAAGACGTAAACAAGGAAAATTATAACTACAGATCATGATTACCTGTGAAGCAAATGCGTTGAAGCTAACAATTGGTCCAGCAATATATAGAGGTGCATAAATCAGATAACACAAGTATATAGTGAAGGAGAATTTTTCATTCTCAAGACTTCTCTCCTGCCAAAGGAGGATGAGGAATGTAAGAAGACCATAAGAAGTTTGTAGAGATGTGACCAAATATTTGAATCCAGAATTCAAATCACCAACTAACCTGCAATAGCTGGTAGCATGTTCTACCTGAAGAACAATTATTGCAACGTTGGATGTGCTTCTGCAATTATCACAAGTACTAAATATCACAAGCGATTAACGGGATCTTTTTGTTTTGGTGATTACTTGCATGAAGTGGTAATCTTGCTATAGAGCAATCAAGAGAATGAACTAAAACACCGAGAATCAATTACCAGATTTCACTACTTCACTTGACATGAATATTTATGAAGAGGTGCTTTCGGAATAAAGATTCTTCAATAAATGATGTCCAAGGATGCAGTACTAAAGGAAAGCATGATTCTTTAGCAACAAGGACACAAAGAAGTTAAGCATTTTCAGTAGATACCTAAGCATCTTTGTATTGTCAAGTGATACCTGAATTAAAGTTTCTCAGATCAGCAATTGCTAGTATTACTTGCCATAAGTTAGCACATATAAGTTCTTTTAAGCATACATGCCAAGCATACAGTAAGTTTGCGGTGTCTTTATTACTTATCAGAGTGTAAAGTACAGTTGGAGAAGGATTCATATGATAGTTCCGTAAAGTACATTCCACCAAAGAAAATGACTTCCTTTCCTGTATCAAATTATATATAGGGTGTCCAAGCAAAGCACCAAAAAGAAATCCTGATTCCTAAAGGCATCTAGAATGATCAACTGAAAGATGTTTTGAGAACAAAATGCAACCAACTAAACTGACAAGGTACGATCCTACGTTTTGTACATATGAATTATCCAGACATTGACTCCCATCTAAATGATTAATGAGATCTAACTATATATCTTTACCATTTCAAGGTAGAAAGGTATTGTCAACAGATGAGATCTAACTATATGTGCAGCTTTTCATTTATGAGAATCAACAGATGTTGGCCCATGAAAGAATGCCTTTGATTAGAGAAGTGTCTCAGAATAAAAAATGTTCGACTTCAAGGACTAGTGAATTTAGCCAAAGTGGAGGAGATCTCTAAGGTTGTTATCAAAAAGATTAAAAAAGTTCAGGTAGCAAACTTACCTCTTTGTCAAACCGATTCGAGTAATATGCCCAATGGTAGTCATATCCAAAGCTAATCATTCGCAGGATAACTGAAAAAGATAGATTTTGGTTAAAGAGCATAGTACATTCACTTGCTTCGTTTTCATGGTTGCAGTTGTAACCAACAGGTAAAAAGTTCTACTGTTTAGAAGAAGAGAACAACTTAAACTTGTTTCCGCCAAAAAAAATCAGATTTCAGTATGGACGTATGATCAACATCAACTTTGTCTTCAGAAGAGTGAGCATTCAGAGCACCTTGGTTTCTAAGTAAAGCACATATGAGGTCCATCCTTTGGTAATTAAGTATGCAAAATCTTAAAATTCTGTCAAAGTAACAAAAAAATTCCACTTTTGCAGGCAATGAGATGTTGATCCAGTAGCTCTGATGTGGGTAGGGGCCTAAGTTGCGCAAACTCTTCACTTTTGATGTCGCGCAGTGTCAAAATCTCCAAAAAAGAAACAACTACTTTTGGAGAATTTGACACGCACCGGTTGACATTTTTAAAGAGTCTGAGCAACATAGGTCGGGGCCCTATGGAAGGAGAAGAATAGGAGAGGTTTATGATGGTGTAGATATTGATTTTGTTCATATGAGGTATAGTTTCTAGTTTCATTTTAGCGCACCCACAAGGTCCCACTTTATATTGAAGATTAGATGTACTTTGTAAAGAATCATATTTTACTGTAGGTTCTCTATCTTTTGGTACATAACTTGTACGTAAGGATTCCTCTTATTATTAAAAACTTTATCTTATGTTCCAGTGGCAAAATGTTGCAACCAAGAGAACTGTGTAGCATAGATACTTCTAAAATGTTGTTTGTTCATGTAAAAAATGATGATGATTGATAATGTGTTCAACAGACAATAACTAGTTGTACTTCTCTCATTATTTTACTGTCAAATTTGTCTCTTAGCATTATATGCGTTAGTGACCTAGTATTTCCTTTTGGCTCTAGTTAGTGACCAAAATTGATCAAGATCTGACTTTTTGGCTATGTTGCTCAGACTCTCCGAAAATGCAACCACACCCGTGTTGGATTCTCAAAACACCACTACTTTTGGAGAATCAACACGCAAACGCCGATACTTGTGGAAAGTCGGAGCAACATAGCTTTTTGGTGTACCCATGAGGTTCTTATGTGTATAGATGATTGAGTTTATTTTTGGGGAGAACCATAGTTTGGAATAGCTTACTCTACTTTTTTGGTATACCACTTGTATATGGGGTTTTCCCCATCATTAATTTCTCTCTACTCCATCAAAAAAATTAAGAAGAACCTGACTCTTTATAAGTGGGCCCAAATATTGATATGAAGTAACCTTTTTACTGAATTTGTGCTTCGACTCGCTTTCCAATAACCAAGCGATCCCCAAGGTCCTGTGGGGCATGGTTTGGGCTTGCCCCTCTACTTTTCTCCACTTAAATACCAAGTTTTGTTTCATGAAAGGGTTCGAACCCATGATGTATGTGCCCATGCATCACACTTCACAGGCTGCGCACTTACAACTAGATCAATTTTCTGGGGGAATGAATTTTTACTTCTACTAAAACAAGATAGGAGTCATTCATAAAAGCTTCTCCTTCCCTTGTACATTTCTTAGCGAATACAATACCAACACATAGATTCCCCAAATTCCACAAAAAAATCTCTTTTATAAAAATGGGCAATGTTTTAGTCAGCCCATTGATAGTTTATACTGAAAAAAAGGGAAAAAACTAGTAGATTGGAATAAGACTCAAGGATTTAGCCAAGTTGAATCCCCATTACAAGACAGATTCTTTACCAAAATTGAAGCAGATGTGCCACCTAAAAGTGCCTCGGTAATTGTCCAAATATGCCCAATTTTGCCTACAACACAGACATAGAATCATGAAAACATTTGCCTGAATAAGGAACTCTGTAAGAAATAGAAATTTTTTTCACAATAGAATGCAACCTACAATTGAGGAAATACAACTTACCCAAAAAGGGAAAATGGATACCCTTCATAAACACGGTTACATATGAGGAATGTAAGATTAAAGATCCAAAGCAGAAAAACAAATTTTGTTCTCCCGCATATCTGCAGATACAGAAGCACGTATAAGACCAGAATCACAAAATTCTTTGGTTATGGAGAACCATTTAGACACATTGTAAACAATGATGGCATACACAGTATAAAAAATACATCTGCAAGAATGACTTTTTACCCATTAAAGAGGGAAAGAGACAGGACCACAGAATAAACCTCGGTAATCTGCATACAGCACTCCAAATAACATAAACATCTTTGTCATTATGAAAGCCTCAATTTAGCTTTATATATTCATTATAAAAGTAGTGGCATAACCATCTTACATTTTCCGTATCAAGATAAGATATGATAGTCAGCTACCTCTTGTGAAAAGCTAAACCCAATCCAACCAAATAAAGTAAACTAGTTTCCTGATTTTAGAGAAGTTTCCATAATTCTATCTCCCCCTACTAAAATGAGAATTCACCTTCCTAACAATGTTAAGTTTACCTGAAACTGAAGTTAGATATCTATAGCATGTTCTGAAGTCACAAAAGACCCAATGACAAGCTTATGAGTGCTAAGGTTTCCCCAAATTATTTTACAACAAAAAATGCAATTCACATTTTCTTTCATTAACAGTTTAAATATTCATCTCAATAATTGGCCAACACCAATGCATACTCATGGCTGGAGCAAGTAACTATTTTACAAATTTATAGAGTATAGCTGCAATGCCACGTTCTATACATCATTCAATATCAACTTTTGACTTGACCTCCTCTATACGTATATAAAATTATACCGCCACTACAAATATCTCCTTCAAATTTATCAGTATATTGTTAAGCTGATCCACTAAAGAGATATCAGCTAACCTTGACATAGCGAAGCTCTCAAGAAAAAATATCGACATGGCATAACATTCCAGATCATTGAATGCAACAGAACTTCAATGATCACTTCAATGATTAAATCAAGCAACTGGAGCAGTTAACAACAAGAGCACGGACACCAGGAGAGTAAGAACTTTATTACCCCTTAACCGCCTGATTAGTACTCTTGTTGTGTCAATTGTCTGAACTAAGAAATTGACCAAACAAGATTTCCTCTAGCACAGCCTAGTCCTCTTATTTCCTTACCTTCCCTCCAGTTTTTTCTTTTTTATCCCCTTAATTCATGAGGTGGAAAAGTAGTTGGAGGAATTGGATTTCGGAGAAACTATTCAGCATATATACATATTTCTAGCAACAAAGGAAAACATCAGCAGTTTAATTCCAAATATCTTAGAGCAACTGTATTTGAAACCAAACATGTTATTAGTGATATTTCATTCTACAAGTCTTAGATACACAAAGCATGCCACTCATTATGCTGTTCTCATGCCGACATTTAGAATAGGAAAAGGTACGATTGCACACAAGCTACTTCATGATGTTCGAAATTTCATGGCATATTCTTGCAAAAGGACTGCAAAGGTAAACAAAAATAAGAACTCAACTAAAAGTTCCATGATACCAACCTTTACTAGGAGAAAATTAGCTGAAGCTATAAACAAGATGTATAAGACGCTGCACCCAAATCGAAGAGTGAGTAAGAAACCAGAGCTCCATAATTAAAAAGAAAATCACTTTCAACCTCTTAAATAATGAGGGTGCATACCAAGCTCCATGGAGATATGTCAAATAAACCAAAGAAACCATCAGCCAAACAACCGCCATTCCCTTTGCTTTTAGACCATATTTTCTACATGAGGTAGCTACTAGAGTGAAGATACCAAACACTAACGTAAGAATCATCAAATTTCCCCGAAAATTTCTCCACTGAGCATCAGATACATCCTAATAACAACCAAATGATGTTTTGGATTAACAGTCACAGGTGCAAATATATTGGTACTGAAGCAAAAAAAGAAAAGGGTTTCATATAAATTGGGAATTGAACAATTTAAGCATACATTGAATCGATGAAAGATCCAACCAGATCGAAGTCCATAAAGTTTGGGGTAATGATCTGCAAATATGTTACAAGTTAACAAACAACCCATAAATTAAAAGGCATAAACACATATAGACATGGGTAAAGAAGAAGAATACCGCGGGCAATTTGAAGAGATCGATGAATAATGAAAAGGTAAAATGAAAGGGCATAGACAATGAGAAGAGTAAGCTCCACCGAGCTTGTCATGATGACTTCACACACTCAACAATGGTGATGAACTTGTTTGTTGTTGAAGTGGAAAACTCATTCACGCATTTTGACAAACAGTTAACTGCCTACAAAATTCATATCAAATCAACAAATGGCGTTGAAAGTAGGAACAATGCGGTGTTCAGATGAATTTGATGAGTATTTAGCTCATATTGACAAAATAAAAACATTTCTTTTCAGAAATCAAAAAATAAAAACTTGTTACATTAAAATTTAATTTAAACTTCATATAAAGCACTAAAAAAACAATGATTTGACAAAATTATTTAACTATATTATTTCCATTAATAAATGTTTAATGTTAAATTTTAAAAAATAAGTAATTAATGTAAAAGATATTAACATAAATAAATAACATTATTTATTTTAATATGTTAAAAGTAACAAATAAAAGTTTATTTTAAAATAATAGATAGATAAAAATGAACACAAATATTATTCCTAATAGTAATTATTTTTTTGAAAATATATTGAATAAAATCTTTTAAAGAGAGATCATATTTAGAGCAAAAATCTTTTACTTCAACGGATTGGTTCAAGAGTCTTATTTCAATTAATATAGTTAATCAGTAGATTAGAACTTTGTACGAATTAAGAATGTATGGTGATATTAAGGCTTGTACATTGCGCTGCTGCTATCTGGGACAGGATAAAACTCTCGCTCCCGTAATAGTTCGTAAACCAATAGGAGAGGTAATCTACACTAAGCAAGTCTGATACGAGCTCGACCGAGAAGGAAAACCCTTTGCTTTCGCTGGTAAGGGGTTTCGAAGACCTCCAACATGGAAGTTCCAAGCTCAAATCAATGAGCCACCCCGAAGGGCTGAGGCTCGTAGACGTATATGGTGGATTTAGTAAGTCAAGTGACATTGCCTACCTTGTTAATGGTTGTTGTTCCTGATTTTACCAAATTTCGTCCTACTGCATTGATATCTGCATATTTGCAATGATCATATCTTATACATTTTACTCATCTCTCATGTAGCATCATGGTTTGATCAGACATTCACACAGTTTAGCCCTGTTCTCACACCAAACTGTAGACCAAATTGGATTTGTTATGTAGCATCATGGTTGATCAACCATTCACACAGTTTAGCCCTGTTCTCACACCAAACTGTAGATCAAATTGGATTAGTCATGAGACGCGACATTTGAACCAACGCCAGGAGGTGGGTTTTATCTCTACCAAAAATATGACTGTCGAAAAGAGGAAATCAAGGCATGAAATGGAAAGGTCATTGAGTCTTCGGAATGTAAATAGACAACACCAAACACCTGCTCAACAAGTCTACTGAAATCTTAATTTCACCAACAACGAAAAAAAAATAATCATTAGCAGCATCACAGCATGTTAAGCATCAGTTTCTGGAGAACAGTTTAATGAATATTTTCATTTAGCTCTCACGTTCATTCTCATTTACCGAAGCAAAGAGAATTTTATCAAAATGGTTCACTGTACATGTAAAGAAACACACCTATACAAGTGTAAAATTGTTGCTGAACATGTGAAAACATATGTACAAAACCTATCCTGCATTCCATGTGGTGCTGTCCGCAACCATGGGCACCAAACAGAAACAATCATTTAGACTGGAAAGCAAGCATCTTTAACACTGTGTTTACCAGCGGCAAATTCCAGGTGTCTCTGTTCGCAAAATCGAAACCATCTCTTCATACTTGGAAGCATATACAAAGCCCCATAACTGCATATGATATGATAAATGGATATCACATTAAAAATTAATTTCTCATGTTAAATGCATATTGTACTCTTGAAAGGTAAATTTCATAGAGCTAATTTCAAACAAACTGCCCTGACAGATACACACATGTAACTATAACATATAGAGATAGTGAAGAGACAGACAAGGCAGAACACAAAATGTGCATGCGTGCGAACACATACAGAGATGCAGTTACGAGACTACCTCAACTTCCTTAACTTCAAAGTCTTCAGTATGTGCCAAACAAGAATTTCCATAAGTTTCTGATGTTGCACTTGAACCTGTTAGCCTGGAAAAGTGAAGTTTGTTGAGCTAATTTATCCGAGTCAAAGATATCTTTAACATACTCAATAGAATTTGATTTCCCCTTGTTTTTTAATCTATGGGCAATAGAGGCAATAAATTGGAATCATAAGATCTGATTCTACAGAAAATATATTAAAAGGTGATATTCATGATGACGATGATGATAGCTGTGAACTTGAGATTAAGAAGATTTTTTTAAAATCCTGTCATGGCAACCAAAAATGGGACAGGAAAAAGGTAACTCCCAAGGCGGTGTGTGGCATTTGATTTTCCTCTTATTTCTCCTTTTATTGGAGGACATTATGATACTAGGAAGGAAGCAGTCAAAAAGCATACACATATAAAGCAATGACAAAAGGATCATAATGAAGGGGAAAGAAATCTTACAGATCCCCGTCTAAGTAGAGAGCAAAATGGCCACCGCCTCCCAAAGCTAAATACTCCGTGGAACAGACAGTAAAATAGCGATTGACACCTACATAGGCGACAGCGTCAATGTCATGTCACAAGTAATTGATTTGAGTTCCAAACAGTTCCAAGGCTTATGGACAAACATTATCATAAAAGGCAAAAGGAACCGAAAAATCAAAGTCAGAAGCAGAAACAGTCAACAATCATGCTGGAAATGGGATAATAGTGATTTCAGAGAGAATAAATGACTAATTTCTGGAAAACAATAAATTCTTGATCATTATATCTTTGGTATCCACCACGAAATCTATTTTTCAAAGTTTGTATGGTTATACTACTATCACCAGCTAAAATTTTCATCATCGTAAGATGACAGTAAATCAGGTAAACAACGTATTAAAAATGTTTCGAACCCAAGATTTCCCATAAGAGGACCACTGTTTTAATTCTCTTCCTGACCATCAATACCACAAATAGAAGAGGATATGGACATGCTGAACCAGACCACTCCCGTCCCCATGTATTAAAAAATAAATTTGTTAGCGACAGCAGACAAAACAAAGAACGGAAATTTGTTCTACAAACTTTAAATGTCTGGTTCAAGTACAAGGAAAAGAGAGATACCTGTGGGACGAAATATGACAGGTTGGCCAGATACATTTGAGAAAACAAATGAATTGTTTGTACCCTGTTAAATACCAAAATCAAATCAAGATGACAAATGGAAACTCAAAGGCAGAGGTGACATGTTTTAAGTATTCTGCTCAGAATTACCTGATATCTTCTCTTTGTTGTTGGCTTTAAAGGTGCATCAACTAGCCCACCAAACACAGCACCATTATGGTCCCCCACAACCTATAAGATTTGGACAATATGAGAGAAACAAAACTAGAGTCTTATGCCAGATCAAATAATCTGTAAGTCTCTAAGTCTTAATGACTGTCCACCACTCACATTGATAGAAAATCAAAAGACACCAGACACCGACACCAATGCTTTTAACTTCAATAATGCATAGAGATAGAGCACTTGGACTCATACAAAAAGAGCAACCAGCAAGAAATCAAAATCGAAAGTGACAATACTTTGACTTTATCAATGCCTCGCATCAAATTTCAGAGGCATTTCCATCTCAAGATCTATCATTTACTTTCTCAAATCATAACGAAGCCAGGAATCTTACGACAACAACATACCTAGTGTGGGGAGGGTGGTGGGTACATTGTATGCAGCCTTGCCCCTACCTTGTGAAGATAGAAAGGCTGTTTCCATAGACACTCGGTTCAAAAAACGCATATCAAAAACAAGGGCAGAAAGGAAATACCAAACCCAGAAAACTTAGTTCCAGAAATATCAGAAGGAACAAATTACTATACAATGAGTTTATCATCCAAGAGAAGCATTGGTTAGATCTGTTATGAAACGATGACAAATTGTCTTTTTAGTAAGAGGTATATTATATAGCTGACCTATACTCGGTTTCTGAAAATATGATTTGGACTGCAACAGCAACACTAATAAGTTAGGGCATCAAAAGATAGCAAAACTCTGGAGTATTTGAACATATATTAAAACAGCTGGATCTTATTCCACATACAAGAAAGCACAGGGATTCTACTCTTTTTTAAGTTCAACAGATACTGATAAAAGTGAAGGAGATTATCTGGTGGTTACTTCAGGAAGTGATATACACACACATACAGAAAACAAAATAATAGTTCTTATTCATCTAGACCATAAGCAATCAAAGAATTGTTCAAAATGTAAATTAAAACAGCTCTTCAATGTGGAACTCCTGTTACATAATTCTTAATGAGCAATGCATATCTCTTTACAAGTCTTCAGTTAATTACCAGCAGACTGATGCCAGGCCAGAGTAGGCTTCTCCTGTATAAAGTCGAGAGTGATATTCCATTCTTCCATGTACTGGCAAAATAGAATTGAGAAGTTAGAATCCACTATAAAATTGGAAATAGGAGAGAAAATAAGCATAGAGCTGCTCAGAGAGCATTCAAATTTAATACAACTCAGGATCCCTGCCTGTATAACAAGACCCACTTCCTGTCCTGCACAAGCACAGGCAGTGCAGCATAAAGAGAAATTCGTGCCTTCTCAGTGAGGAGAACTGAAGGCTCAGAAGTTCCCGGAAGATTGTTCAGAAGAGGTTTCTTATTCATATCTTCCAAAGGTATTTGATTATCTCCGGAAACTTTAGAATTACTTCCATCATCAAACACCATATCAGAGCTGCCCTTTGCCGAACCCTGATTCCTAAAGCCGCCTAGTCTAGCAACTTGGTGAAGAGCTCTGCCGAGGGAATGTTTACCCCTGGAAAGTATACCTTTTCTTCTGCTAGGTTCCCTCATTGTAAGTTCAGGTATTGACTCATCACGATCATCTTGCTTATCATATTTTCCAATAGTGTTAGGCTTACTCTCGGATCCTGTGGTCGACAACAGTGAATATAGGAACGCTGAGAAAGAAGATGTATCAGGACCGTCAACTAAATCAGTGGCATCTCCCTCTGCATTTGACTCATGCTTACTTCCGTCAGAATCAGATCCATCTTCCTAAAGAAATATAAGAAAAACTATTAACATACAATCTGTAGGGAATATAACAGAACCTCTCTTCTGCTTTGCTTTCAGAGTATAATGTATATCAAATGCCCCAATATTAAAGGATGTTATCCACACTGCATCTTCAGTAAAAAGGGCAGTGAATACTAAGAAGTGAT